TGCCCATGGCAGGGGTTTGGAACTAGATGATCTTTAAGGTCTCTTCCAACCCAGACCATTCTTTGATTCTATGATGGTTGCTCAGAGGTGTATTTTATTTACAAAAAATAAAAATCAAGACTCACTCCTATCTCTCTGAGAAGCTTAGCATTCCACATCTGGAGATGCACAGATCTGTCAGTCCAGTGGTCTCTGTGCTTAGGCCACTCTCTTTGCTTCAAATCAGTTCTGTACTTAATCCCTCCAAAGATCTGCAGAGACTTGATTAATAGACCTCTTCACAGCATTTATCATTAAATCCAGCATTTGCTGTGCCTCCTCCCTTGAGGGACACCCTAACCCTCTGGAAAACTTTCAAGCTACCATGTAAGGCACCACCTCATGTTAGGTCTATTATGTAATGGATGGGATTTGTTCCCCTTAACATTAGACATCTAATACATATACATATGCAGTTAGACTGATCACATTGACCTTCATTTATGGGCAATGATTCACCAAATGAGGGTAGATTTCAACTGACCTACTTTAGTTGTCTCATTGATGAACTGTTGCCAGCACCTTATGGCCTTTTCTGTGTCTCTGCTGGATACAGGGAGAGGTCAGGAATTGAAAAACTGTGTGGAAGTGGATTTCACTGCAGGGTCAGACATGGTGAGACCAGTGTCCTGAAATTAAAACATCCACATAGCCAGTTCCCTTTTGCTGATCTGAACATTGCTTGAAAGTCCCTCTTGCTCATCTGTAGCTTACAATAAGGTTGAATTGGCCTTCATCAGCTTTCCACAATTTCCACCTCTGTACATAACCAAAGTTGTTTAAAGTCCAAAGTTATTCTCCAGTTACATCCAACTCCAGCATGAGGATCTGAAACATGACACAAAGGTGCTTAAGTGCAGGTGGAACTTGATGTATTTATCACTGAAACCTGTTTTCACAGAGCAAAAATCAGTCTTTTGCAAAGGCCACTGAGATTTATAAATCTTCTTCACTTATTCCATTTGCCTTCAGATCAGGTTTTCTGGGAATAAAAAATTGCATTTCAGCAAAGCAAGAACTTAATTTGGGTTGTGTAGTCACAGGTTACAGAACACCACAATTATCCTATAGTCAGAGACTACCTGCTGTCCCTCTGCCCCTCGCTTGTTGACACTTTCAGGTGAGAGATGTTCCCTGGGGATAGAGTATGTCAACATCCCAACAGTCTTAATTCCAGCTTCCATTACCACGACAGCTCATTTAATCCTTCTCTTCTTATCAGACACCTACATTACTACTATTCTATTTTAGCATTACTATGTTAAGCCCCAAGTGAATGGGCCCCTTTGTTCTAAGTGCTGTATAAAGTGGATCAAGCCTTGTTCCTCTCTGCTAATGAGACATGACATCTCTTCCAAAAGCTGACTTTTAATGTCACTGAAGGCTCTTTCTTCAGCTCATTTCTAATTGATGCAAGAAATCAGCCAGCAGACAGTGTCTAGCATAGGTAATAGCAGTACAAAGTTGATGTCTGTTGTATCAAAAGCAAACCTTCTCTGCATGTTTTCATCCTTCTCTCCATCTTTCATTCTTTTTGTTATTCTGTTGAGGAGGGGGAAGAGAAATTTTTAACAATGCTGTTTATCAGATGTGTTTTTAGAGATTTTCAGATGTGATCTGAAAGTTTGACAAGTCCTTGTTTAGGTGATCCAATCAGAAGAGAAAACTTATCACCCACAGGTTTCTTTCCATCACACAATCCTTTCTCTTGACTGTTCTAAAGCAGTGCCCACACTCTGTAGGCAGAAATACATTAGTAAATCTGATTTGACCACATCTTCAAAAACTGTGATTATTCACAGTACACAAAGGACAAAGATCTGAAAAGGGTAATTCTGAAAGTGGAATTATTTGCAAGAAAAAGACAGACCAAGGGTCAACACAGACACCTGAGTTCTTGGTCCTCTCAGGCAACTAAAGTTCCATAGATATGAGGCTGATAATTTGGATTCCCCATGCTCTTTCTTAAGCATTAACCACTGATGTCAGCTGGTAGGATCTTTGGGTTGTTACAGGCAAATGCTGGTAATTTCAGGTCATAGATGTGCTAATGCTGACTCCAGGACATGATCCAGACTCTACCAGTGCTTAATATATAAAGGCAATTGCTCTTATGAAGATTAACAACCAGATGTGAAGTTGCTATTTTGCAACTCCTGTTGCAGTGCATAATAGCTTTTTTTGGTGTCCTTTTTAACATCTTATAATAACAGTCACAGCCAGTGAGGTCAGTTTGATGAAACAGTGAAGGTCAGCAGTCCAGGCTGTTTGCTGCTGTAGCAGTACATGACTGAGTCAGACCATCCTGACTGTCTGTTTCAAATAACAGTTTCATTCAACTTATTTTGTAAACTGACCAGACCCCATCCTGAAACTAGTGGAGGCATCTTCTAGCTACTGCTTCGTAACAAGAGGCTCTTCCAGAAATCCCTTGCACTGTTGTTTAGCCACTTTATTCTTGTTCTCATCCCAAAATCATTCATGATGATCATGCTCTTCCTGGAAGTGCTGTCTCTTAATTTTAATTCTTCTTTCATTGGATGTCCTCTCTTCTCTTTCTCCAGTTCTATTCCCTCATATCCTTTGTTTAATAGGGGTCTGTGGGACCCCTATTGACCCCTATTAAGTGTAAAGAAATCATTTTATATGGAATCAAATCATTGATTCAAAATCAAAAGAAAGAAACCTAATGTGGCACCATTCTCATCTTTCAATATCTTTATCTACTTGTCTTGAATGTTGGATAAAGCAGCACAGATCACACATAATTGAGAAAATAACCAAAGAAAGATATATTCAGGTCCAGTTTGCCCAATTTCTGCCTTCTAGAAGGTCTCTGATAGAAAAACCACATTTCCAGGTTCAGGATTCTCCTGAAAAGGCACCGAAGGGGCAAAACTGGTTACCAGGCTAATACAAATCTGTGATGGAGTATATTCATGGACAAAGCTGGTGTTAGGAGGGAATTGTTTGGTGCCAGACCATAGCACTGCAGCGTTTCTAAGTATCAGTGCTACACACCACGAGTCTCTCCAAGTCCCTGAAGGCCCACCTAGAAATGGGAGGATTTAACACATCTGAGAAAGGAGTGTGATTTCCCTCTTCCTATGTTCTCCCTGTGAACATTTGTATGTTTCAATCATCAGACCATCATCCTGTTCATCTAGGGCACGTCATACTTACTGTGTGTGGTTTGGGTGGGAAATCCCTCTGCTACTAGAGTTCTTCAGTTCATTTGAGCACCCTTAGCACGTTGGAGCTGGTCTGAAGTGTGGTTGGGGAGCATGTGTTCCTCATCAGAGCACACCTGAAGCCAATCCCCAAGCTTTAAAAGAAATAGAGAAGAGCAGTGGCTGTGCAGCTTTGGAAAGGTTTTTTCCACTCCATATTCCCTGCAGTCCTGGTGGTGGTGATAGATATACTCAGGATGACTTCGATCTACCTCACTCAGGTGCTGATAGCTGAGAACATGTGTCAGCATGGGTTTCCCAGCCCCTGTGCAGTTGCTATAGCAGCTGATCCATGTTGAGGTCTAACCCGCAACAGCATCACTGCTATTAATACCCAAACTTTCCCTTATCGGTGGTAAAATGGTGCTAAGAGCAGTCCTTTACTTTTGAGGGATGCAGTGAAGATAAAGACATTAATGACTGAAAAATATTCAGGGTAAGATATTAATATTGTCTAAATTTAGCTACATTTATAATCCAGACATCTAAAATAGAGCTAGTTGTCTAGACTCACTTTATAACTAATGAAAGGAAATAGTTATTTTTCATTTGACCACAACATCTGGCCTGCTTTGGACACCTGCTTTAGGAGGAGGTGGATCATACCCTTTGACCATACTGGCTGGTTCTCTTTAGGTCAGGAAGAGAACTATGTGTCAGTAGCTGAGGTGTAATGTCTACATTATATTATTTATAGCCACACATTCTAAGCAAATGTGGTCTTGGCAAAGGAGGCCCTGCTTGATATAGAGGTTGTATGTAAAAATTCTCTTTTTTCCAAAGTACACCAGATTTCAGGTTGGCAGCAGATTGTCAACATCCTTTCCAAGTGTCGTGAATACAATTACTCATTGATTGTCCAAGAAGTCGGGTCCAGGTTCATCTCACCTAGTTTTGTAGGCATACCTAGCTGTCTGGGCAAGGGTTCTCAATTGTCTCTACAGTAAGCAGAGATCAACAAGAATATCCAGAGATTGGTCTAAATGCTTCTTTCCAGTTTCTGACTTTGATCCTTCTCTGCCAAGGATTTGGTTACAGTCTCTGTTAGGACTATCTCAAGCCTTCCTTTCCACTGTGTTTGAAGCTAGGATTCTATCATCAGTTTTGCTTAGATATTTGAGCTGCAGTTCCTGGGCACTCTCCATGCTCCATGCAAAATCTGTGCACTTAAGTTAGAGATTCAACTGTTCTATTTGTCAGCACCTGCTTGAGTATGTCCTTCTGTTGACTCTACACCAGTTCTCCACTGCCTGTATGAGGTGCTCACAGGGATTGGGTCAAGTCTGTCTGTGTTGTAGAACCAATGCTTAGTTAGATGATCTGTGATTCTTTATACACCAGGGAAGCAGGGGCAGCTGTAGCCCCTGTGGTAGAACTCTCTAAGACCTCCACCAGGTCTACATGATGGAGGTAGACCTGATGAATAGTGCACCCATCTTGAGGGTTCAATTCAGTTGCATAAGTTTAGGCATTTATTGTCATTTCAAATGCTCTGGGGTATTTAAGACATCAGATATGAGACATGAGATAAGTGAAAGTCATGTTTTTCCTGGAGTGAAGCACCCAAGAGAATAGCAATGAACTAGATGCCTATGCTTAGGCAGCTGAATCCATCGCTGCATGTTTCAGTGCCTTGACCGTTATCATCACTTGTCTCAGCACTGTCTAGTGTCCCTTTACAGAGGAAACCTGAAATTCCATCTTCATGTTCTTTCCTCTTTTCTTCACCAGGTCCGTTCTGCTGCCAGGAAAAGATGGCACCGCTGGCAGGACCATCACTCCCTCCGAGTGCGTGTGGCGCGTGCCATGTCCATCCCCACGTCTCCGACACGGATCAGCTTCCATAGCATCAAACAGACCGCAGCTGTGTGACCTGCCCCACACAGACACAAAACCCGTGGCCTTCAGACTTCTTCTGTCTTCACTCTCCCCAAGCCTCTTTCTGCAAACTTTCTTCCTTTATCCTTTCAATGAGGTGTCCATCATATTTTTGTGGACTCTCATCTCCCATATCTGTGATGCTGCTTCAAGGCAACCAGGCAAAAGCCTTTTGGTGGTGGTGGTGGTGGTGAAACAGACTCGAAGAAGAAGCGGGTTCAACCCTGACTGCACCTTGTGGAAGTTCACAATACAAATTCTAAAACAGCACACTGGCAGGAACAATCAATTTTTTTCTCCTTTGTTTTTTTGGGTTGTCTTTCCCTTCCATTTTGTGGTGAACAAAGACTATTTTTAACATACTGCCCATCTCACCCTGTACATTGATTCCCAATGATTTCAACAGTTTGGTGTATAATAGCCCATCTCTTTCTTGTTTCTTTGTAAAAAGTTTCTTCTCTGCAGAACTGTCATTTGAGAACATGTGGCAGCAAGAAAAAAAAAAGCATCTGGAAGGCAGTGTGAAAAATCTGAGTTTACCTGCCTTCCTCATTTCTCCCTTTGACAGACTGGGAGTTGACCAGGGCATCGTTGGACTGTTTAACACAGGGCATTTTGCCTTGCAAGCACCATGCCCTGTTCATACACAGATTCTGCAAAGGACAGCAATACCTCTAGGTAGCTCTACAGAATATCCTTATTCCTCTTAGCCCCACGCTTTCGGCACAATGTAAGTAACCTTTGGAAAGTCTTTGGGTTTTTTCAGCTCAGAGGATCAGGATGGGGAAAGACAATAGAATGTGTTTTCTGGGTTCAAAAAGTACAAAAGGGAAGCACTGTAAAAATAATAATGAGAAGAGAATGTTTGTGTTATGAGGATAGTGCTACATGCTGCACAAAGATATCTATTGAGCATTTTGAACTAGAGCAGATGTATCTGCAAGGCTTTTTATGTGATGTTCAAAAATACTGTGTATTTTCAATAATAAACACTACTCTGGGTTGGTTTCAATAAAACCAGGCATCATTTTCTTTTCTCTGAAAAGGAAGAAGACACCTATCTTGAGAGTGGGTTTGTATCTAAGATCAGGGGGAAAAAGTCCTGTTCAACAATGAGCCAAGAAGAAGAATCACCTCATGATAAAATGTGAGCAAAAAGACATTGAAGTGCAAGAAGCATTGCCTCCCTTCTCAGCTCATGATGCTACACTGGATCCTTGTCCCTCTGCACTCCCTCTACTGTGGTTTGCCACAGCAGGAAGAAAAAAAAAGTGGTGTAATAAATTCTCCATCACCTGTATCTCACCAGTGCTGGAGTAATTTGCTCTTTCCATTTTATTAAGCTTATTCTGAATTTTCTTCAGATGGTTTATAGGATTTTCCAGCACAAGCTGAATTTAAATCTTGAGATATATATTGGTCTAGTTTTCAGGGGCTGGAAGACATCTTGGAAGACACTGATGTTAATCCCCTGCTTTTGGGGACACCCTGCACTCAGTCACATTCAACTTTGAGCTGATTGGCAATGCACAGGCAATTTAAATTAAGAACTTGAAATTTTGTAACTTTTCCCACTCCTAACTCTGACTGAGATTCATGTGCCTCAATGAGATAACCGAGGGAAGAGGTAGAAGGGAGATTTGAGATCTTAAGATTTGAGTGTCTGATGAGATTTCACCAAGTCAGTGCTTTTATTCATCACATGCATCACAATAGTGATGCCTCTGGCATTTTGTGTTTGAAAGAATCAACATATCTACAGGTTACAAATAAGTAGATTGTCTACCTCTTGTGCTTGCTCTGGCTCTAGGTCAGGCTGGGATGAATAAGGGATTTGCAATGCAGCAGCTACTGTCAGAAATTGCAGGTTATTGTTGCCACAAGGAGTGTAGCAGACTTCCAGGACTGAGTAGAAAAGAAATTCAGCAGTTGAAGAAGTGAACTAATGTCTCTGTCACCAGACATTCAACCACAGCTTGATTTCACCTGATTCTTTAGAGCTGAGAGTTTACCTGACAGTAAATCCCTGGTATATATCGATGCCATTGTACCAGTGTTTTTTCAGGGCTATTTCTGGGATACCCTGTTTTCACTCACAATAAATATGCACTTAACATTTAAGACCAGCAAACAGGTGAAGACACCTAAATCTGGTTGCTGTCTCAGTAAGTCAGGTGGCTGAGCCCCCACTACACTGCTACCTAGCCAAGGAAATTGTGCAGTGAAGTCTGCAGAGCTTCTTAGCTGGCCCTCAGGAGACACCTGCTTCACAAGGAGTTCTTGGCCTTGCTGGGTAGAATGCATCTCCTGGCCTCACTGAGGGCTTGATTCAGTTGCCTAAAGACAAGTTTCAAGCATCATTTCAGATGCCCCAGGTATCCCAGTTACCTTCTAGTTGTCAGTCCAGAAAAGCATCCATATGCCCTGTGCACATCACACCTTTTCTAAGCTCTTCCAGATGTAAATAGACATTTATGAATGTCTTGTACACATATTCAGCTACTTCTCTGATCTTCCTCTAGGAAGAAATTGAATTGGACAGGGCCATGTCAGCTAATCCAGTATTCTTCAAATGGGCCTCTATTACCTGCAGACAGTGCAGGGAGATTCAGGTAGCCAAGGATGCTTGGAGGGACTGCAGTGGGTTTTCACTCCAGCAATGAGTTCTATGCAAAGTGTATTGAAACCAGTAAGATTTGCACTGCCTAAAGAAATGAGGCTATGAAGGAATCTCTTTGCTCTGCTATTAGGCATGGTAAAAATGTGGTACTCTTCATTTTATTAGTGCAAACAATTTGAAGAAAATAAAAATAACCTTTCCAACCCTACAAGTTCTTACCCACAGGATTTTGGAAGTAGTTCTCATTTCACTTGCCTATTAGCAGTGGTGATGCTCTTGTCTCTGCTGTACTGTCTGGTCCCACTGGTGGAGAGCTGACTTCTGTTACCAACAATATTTGGCACACCCAAACTGGGATGACAAAATTCTCACCTTTCCTTGAAACACTAGCCTAAGCAGCTGCTGTTGCCATGCCAAGGCATGGCATGGGATTAAGTCATGGGGCTGCTCAGAAATTGATTCATTTGAGATAAGTTGTTAAGGAATCATACCAGGAGAAAAATACGTGGGAGTAAAACAAAGAACCAAGAGCTTCCATTTTCCCTGGGTAACCTTTGATTAAAATGCTAAGCTGAAGATGAACCACACACCCTCAGCTCAAGAACACAAATATTTCCAAATTTACAGTGGTGCATGCCAGTAAGTCTATGGCTACCTGGAAACCTAAGGCAGCCTTGAGAGATCTTCTCAGTTCAGGGACCAAATCCCTGGCTGGACAAGAGAACAGAAACAAGAGTGAACAGGGAAACACTGGCCAAGGTGCACTTCTGGGTCAAGGTTTCTGAAGGGAGGAGCTCCCATCGCTGATGACCAGTTTGTCAGTCAAACCCATCTTCTTATCCCATTTTCTGCTACACCTTCACAGACTGGAGTCATGTCTCAGAGGGAGTTCTCACTGCCTTCCACACCAGGTGTGTTATCGTGGGGTGTTTGGCCTCTGATGGCACTTACCATTTCCAAGGTCCAGGGAATGTGAGTGATTTTCATGCTGTCTTTTAATAGTGAATTAATGATTTGATGGTTATTCAGGATACCTGTGAGCAGAGCTACTGAGATTATCCTCAAATGTCTTGGACAGCAAAGGGGAGTCCCTTGGCCACAGATGCCTTCTCCTGAAGGGAGCCTAAGGAGCAACTGTGTGGAAACACACCTAGAAACCTCAACGGATGCAGGAATGAACCCAAATCAGCCATGTGACCTGGCAGCAAAGGTAGCTAACAGCAGTCTGGGCTGTTTTAAGGGAAAATATTACTCCCCTCTACTTTGCACCCATCAGACCACACCTAGATGCCGTGTCTAGTTTGGTGAACCCAATACAAGAAGACACTGAAAACCTAGAGCAAGGTCAGCTGCAGACCACCAAGATGCTCAGGTCTAAAGTGCTTGCCATGTGCAGACATGCTAGAGGAGGTGTTTCAAAACAGAGAAAAAATTTTGCATGGACCTAGTCACAGCCTGACAGTACCTACAAGGTTACTGAAAGGACAGTCCCAGGCCCTTCACAGTAGTGTGGAGCAGGAGGACAAGAGACAACAGGCATTAGTTGTAACAAGGAACAGCCAAATCCAATACAAGGAGAAAGCTTTTCCTCAGGGGGACAGTCAATGGGACAGGTTTCCCAGTGAGGGTGTGGAATCTCCAGAGTTTTTTCAAGACCCTACTGGATAAAACCCTGAGCAACCTTCTCTGTGATCATAGCTGAGCCTGCTGTGAGTCAGGGGTTTGGACTGGAAACCTCCTGAGGTCCTTTACAACCTGGATTATTATTCTGTCATCCTAGTAGATATATTGTCAGTCACTTGACTAACACAAGAAAAGAATGAACATGATCAAGGTTTGACTAGTGTTTTTTATTCATGGGCACCTCATGGGTTTTGGAAACATGCTCATGTCCCCTCTCTTCAAAAGAAGTTTCTTTTTCAGGAATGCAAAGATAAATAAAGTCACATCTCTTTAGGGAAAACTCTCTCCTTTACATTGTGGTGCCTTTTGAAGCTCTATGTTCCTTTCAACAAAATAATCAGTCACAGCACAGATCTAGGATGATTCAGATGCAGCTTTTGGATTAGCAGGAACAGTCTCAGCTGTGCCAGGAAAATGGTTGCAGGTCTGTTGGACTAACAATATCTGTGTATGTTGTGTATACTTGTGTATTGGTGTATCCGTGTATGCACATGTACTCACATGCCTACCTGTGTGTGTGAGTGACTGTACATGTGTGAGAGTGACTGTGGTGTGAAGAAAATTGGTCACATCACTTTTGATTTATAGCATATCATGTAGGAAGAAAACAAAGCTTCTTGTGTTCTGTGAGTCATTATGGAAATGAACATCCATGAACACTTAAGTACTTGAAACACGACTCATAAAAGTT